TGATGTGGTGGCATAAGAAAATGATCTCTCAGGTTTCATGCCATAGAAACTTTGATTAACTCTGACAGCCATGCAAGTCATTCTTTTATACAGACTTCAACATAACGTTTTTAAAGCAAAAGGGTAGTAACACTCACAATCTCCAAGGTGGCCATATCCAACACAATTAGTCACCAGGTCACCAAGTCTTTCTCTCATATGTGACACAAGCTCATACATTTTTGGCAGAGGGATTGACAAGTCATACTATAGCAACAAAAAACATATCCATCTCATATAAGCTATACATAGTAGTACTTGAAAAGTGTCGCCATTTTTAGTTTGTATCATAACACAGAAAAACCAAACAATTAAGAACATCCAAACAGAATGTGCTCGGCTGAATAATGTGAATTTCATAGGGTGCCAATGTATGAACTGTATTTAACTTTATATGTTCTTATTTATATTCACTTTTGGGCTAGTTCATATTTATAAAAATTCATATCTAACATATTATATAATCAGATCTACACAGTCATATATATTTATATTTTTTTCCTTAAATTTAGATGTTCTTAAGTTTCTCTTATTAATACTTGTATATGGTTAATTCTTGTATTGCTTTGTTTGTCGAGCGTTTTAACATGAGCCTCTGGCTCGGAAGATTACGCAAGCACTTTCCACGTTTTCGACATAAAATAAATCATTACATTACATTACAAAGATAAACAGCAAGGTGTGGCAAAATTCATGTCACTGATTTGTGATTGGTTTTCCTGAAGTTTTAGATTGGCTGATAGGTAAGGCAACTTTTTGGACCAAATCACAAAAGTCAGAGTCACCATCCAAAGGGTAATGCAATCCCAGATAACTTTCCAAGCTTAATGGGCAAAATTACTTTACTGCAACTCAATCCATTGATTCAAATAACATTAACAGATGTTTCCACAAATATGTAAGATTTAGTATATTTTAGCTTACCTTGTAAGTTGTTCCAGAATGTGTCAGGCCCTCTGCTATTCTTTCACGTATATCCCACACGTCTTTTAACTAAGTTGGGAAAGACATATTAATTTATTTCGGGCAGATGTAACTAAAATATCATATGAAAAGTATCTTCAAACGTAAGAATAATTCAACAAATCAAAAGAGAAACATACCTTTGACAAATCTGTTGCCAGAATTCCATCCCTTGCAATTTTTTCAAACATAAGTTTTTCCAGAAAAAAACTAAGTTTCTATAAAATATAAATAATTTGTGATAAAATATAATTATTGGACAAGCCAAGTCAAAATATTTGACTTCACTGATGGTTGAAATTATTTTTGCTAAACTACCGTCAGATGACCACAATAATTGATTCTGGTTTAGCAGTTTGAATTATAATCAAAAGAGAGAGAGAAGTAAGGACAACCTAAATTATGACAGAAAGGTGCAAATCCTCTCTGGGGATGGTCATAGACTGTGATACCAGTTCAGCCATTAATGTGAATACTCTTAGACTAATAAGGCCCAGAGGGACAAATTGATTTTCAGGGCTTTAGGAAGGAACTCGATTGAGGGAAGGGAAGGGGCAGAGCATTTATCAGAAACATTACACTTCAGAAAGGGTGCCGGGTTCTTAGGGAGTGGGAATTATTATTAAGCTTGTTTGCAGTATTGATGTTTGTGATTTTCACATGCAGAGGAAAAGCTGTAACATTTGTAGTGGAGTGCTGTCATCCCTTTATGGAATCTCAAGACAGAACTTATGCCATTGTATCACTGCATAACAGTACCTAGATATCTCACTCCCTTATAGTTTAAATCATGTTTGCTGATGGTTCTGGATCATGTCCACTGAGTCAGCTAGGATTATCCAAGAAGGGGTCTTAAATCAGCATCTTGTTTGAGATTAGGAGCATACCACAACTTTTTACTACCAGTAAATTGCTTTTTTTAAAGGAAGGATCCAAAGCAGCCAGTGACCCACAATAGCTCTATTTTAATATCTCTTCTTTAACATTCTAACTTATGGATGACCTTGAAATTCATTCCAAAGATTGTTAAACATTTAAAGACAAACCTCTTCATCATGGGAGTTGTTTGAGCCTGAAGTCTCAATCAACACATAAAATGGCTGCTTACTGATGGGATTATGAAGACCAAGCTTTGTTTCCACAAGATTCATGCAAAAATCATCAAGAAATTCGACGGCTGAAAAAAGAAAAAAAAAAACATTCATTCTTACTGTGAGACTCAAAAGGCCATGAACATTTTGATTTTGATTTTGATTTTGATTTTGATAGTTGGGTCTCCAAAGAACAAATCACAATACAGTGCAAGATACCCAAGCAAATCTCAAATTGGGGATTTAAGTAGCATATCAGAAACACCAAGAAATTTACCTGACAGAATTTCCCCCAACATACTCCTTGCCAGTTTGTACACACTAAGAACATCAGAGAAGGTGGTGCAACCAAGAAAAGTGACATTGACAGCCTTCAAAGTAAGATCAATTAAAAAATCATTGGAACAAATGCAAGAAAAGGAGTAGGAAATGTGAGGTAATTAGGGAAAAGGAAAGGTGAATGCCTATTTTTCAGGTTATTAAATATCGTACACCTGCCTAGGTTAAAAGGCATAAGAATTATCACTTGAAATAACCTCTTTTCTTAGAAGTTTCATTTATGACATGAAATATTTTATCACATAAATTATTGATAAGCTACTTAATTACTGTAATTATTTAAATCTATTAAGTGTTCACCAACCTTGGGTCTGGGTGGTGTCAGGATTGAAGCAGTTGTTATTATACCCAGGTGGCCTTCTGATCCAATGAACAGCTGTTTTAGGTCATACCCTGAAAATGAGGATTTTTCTTTATATGTGAAACTTTTTTTAGCAAGTACCTTGTAATATCCTCTCCGTATAGTTACATCTGCATGTAGCACTGTTGTAACCAAAGGAAGCAATCTATACTGTCCTGTCTGTTTCTTTAACCATTATAGAAATATACACAAAAGGAAGCTTAAAGCTTGGTGAGTCTGACTTTAAAAGATAACAGTTGTGGAAAAAAACTGTTAGTGCAGGAAATTGTAAGTGAACAACAAAATTGAAATTACTGATTATGATTTTTTTTTACACTTCTTAGAATTTCAATTTGTACTCTGTAAAAGTATACCTAAGACTCAATATACTAGTAACATTTCACTTTTTAAAACAACTTACTAGATACTAACAACAACAAACATATGAAACATATGTATGACGTTACTAGATACTATATATACGTTACTAGATACTACAAGCACCCTGATTGGTCAAAAAATCTTTATTGTACTAGTAAAGCCAAACAGTTTACAGCTATAACAACCCACTTGAGAAGTTTGGAGAACATTGAAAAAGGATCAGCACCACTTGTCTCTGGCTTGAAATTTACAATCTTTTCTCATGTTCATTCTCCTTACATCCCCCATGGATTATTACACTGGTAAACCAATAAAAAGTGAGTTCTATTGCCTATAAATAATCTACAGTAAGTATTTGCAAACTCACTGTGTCGACAAACCTGTATTGTCTTTTAACATTGACGAAAGACAGTCAAGTATTGTGCCATCTGGAAGAACCTGAACATCCCAAAATAATTCCACATTATTTCATTGTTTATTGTTCAATAACAGAAATACTAGATAAGAAGTACAGTATAACAATGTTCAGCAAAAATAACTATTGTGGGTGATGAATAACTAAGATAATTTGTTGCTCCCTCCATTCTTAATTCTATCTGCCTGCTTGTCTGTTTTCTAGCTTGTCTATTTGCCTGCCTATCTGTCTGTTTATTTGTCCATCTCTCTGTCCATCTGTCTTATCATTCATTGATTCACTCACCCGCTCACAAGCTTGTTCATTCATTCTGCCTTTTTTTAACTCTGGCAATGAATAAATGAAACAGTAATTACCACTTCAAGCCCGAGAACATTGCCATGTAAGGATCCATACCTCAGTCGTCTCAAACCCCCTGCATTTGTTGCAATGTTGCCACCTATATGACAACTGCACAATCAGTGAAAAAGAAAAAGGAAAATAAGAAATCCAAATTAATACTCATGCAAAAGAATACAGAGCATTGTGTCTTTGATACTGATTGAGTAAGTTATGATCTGCACTGAGAATGACAACATCAGTTAGGGCTAATTAGGCAGTGCACATCCAGCTTGAATTTACAGAAAAAAAAAATCATACTAGATAACATAGAAAATAATACCCAATTTAGCATGAGAGAAACTAATGTGTGAGCCAGAGCTGTTTTTTGCGAGCCTCGAGCCTCTTCTTGCGAGCCACTGTTTGTTCTATATCTTTCCATTTTCTCTCCTCATTTTATTCTAACAGTCTTTGGAATTGAAGGCATTTGAAAGCATTTGAAGGTCAAAATCTGAAAAAATATAAAACTAGACACACTCGAGGAGCGTTCACTCAGGCTTCGTAGTGAGCGCTTTACTTGAGAATTCACCACGCGTAAAATTAATTCGAAACTACAAAGCCACAGCATTCACACAAAACACGACTACTATTATAATATGAATCACGAGATCTGAATTTTTTTACCATTAATGACACTGTAACATCATTATGTTCATGTACATTGGTCATATTGCAAAATTTTTCTAGTAGATCACAGTCATCAAGAGTATTCATTATGTCTCCTACTAAGCACTCATAACTCCATGTAAAAAGAGCAAACCAACTTTCACGATCGCTTGCACAATAATAATAGTGATTATGTACAAAATATCAAATCGTACTTTACTAGTATTGAACCCGATAGAAACCAATTACAGAAGCTGGTATTTAACGGAAGAGCTAAGCTTAGATATTTAACTTTGTTATTCATGTTGCTTCTGTCAGTATCCCCATCCAATTCGCTGTTGTTAGCACCACCTTCGAGCGAGGTGTTCGTCTCAGCTTCATAGTTTGTTGTTAATAGTTTGTTGTCACAGTTTTGCTAGTATTTTTGTACTTTGAGTGAAAACGCTGGACATCATTTACTGTGGGCCTACCACGAACGGTGTGTGCGTTTGTATGTGAGAAGAACGTATAAGACAGGAATCTTTGCCATGCAACCTTCCCAAAACACAACATTTCAAAAATTGTGTTGTATACAATCAGCGAGCACACGATAGGACAAGTTGTCACACTCTCATCCTCAGTTTCTACGGTTAAACAAGGAACGCCTGGGACCATGACCCCCCTTTTGGCACGTGAAGTAAGAACACATGAAGACAGCATGTAATCAAGACCATAAAAAGGCATTATGTCCAGATTTGGATGTTATTTTCCTGGGGCTCGCAAAAAATGGCTCCGGCTCGTCATAAAAGGCTCAGGCTCACAGGCTCCCATTATAGCAACCCCCATTTAGCACTGGAGTGTTCACTTTATTCATTTATCAAACCCTGTGGTCTTTAACTCTTAGATTCAATCTTTCACAAGCAGTTTTCAATTTAACTACTTTTTTGTGTGTTCTACATTAATTACTCACATTCTGGATTGTGACAAGATGAACATCTTTTGCTAAATATCATACTTCAAGCAACTGTGAGTCAAAAAGTGATGTACAGCAGATGGCCAGATGAAGAAAGGTTTGGTTGTGGCATCAAAATTTGACAACATGTAAATTAGGAAATTTGATGTAAACAGGATATTCTCTTGTATTGATTTGTAGACTCCAGTCATTTTGGACCTTTCTGTGACTTTTTAGAAGCCTCTAAAGTCCATGGAAACTCACAAAGTGAGACCTAAAACAGGTTGCATCTTTTAAAGTTCGTTCAGTCAACTGTTACCGTTTGAAAAAAAAGTTTATTTATAACAATTGATATTGTCTTATCATCTACCACACTTTCAGCAAAAAAAATTTGAGTTTCCAAGAACATACTGACTCAAACTTTGGCAACCAGTAACCTTTCAGAGGACTTTTTGTGAAACTCGACCAGGCAGCAAGTTTGCATGTCAGAAAATGGAAGATTTTGATTAGAAATAAAATGATCAGTTGACCAGTTGTTACAAAGGAGACTAATATCTAAACTCTGTTTAAAGCCTGTTTATGCTGCATGGAACTGATTGGCTAATGAGAGGGAAATTGATTTTCATATGAGGAGGGGGGGGGGTTGTTCTCCAATGGGTGCTTTACCAAGATGGCCACCTACTTCAAATCCTGTTGAAAGCACTCATGGTACAGGGAATATGAATCAAATGTGCCTGATGGTTTAAAGATTAGCAATCTATTTAGGCTACTGTTACTTACACTAGTTCCCTTAATATTTTGGTTTAAGACAAGCAGTGTCCACACTGGACCACTGGTACATGGAATATACAATTTGTATACCTTCCTTTTGCTCCCAAGTCCAATGGCATGATAAAACCTTGATCTTCCATTAATTTGTCCAGTGACTCTAAAATACAACCAGCCTGACAGACAAGGATACCTAATGATATGAAGTCAAAATCTATTGAGTTGTGGGTAAAATTATTTGAACTGTTTAATGTTGTTGTACTTATGTGGTCCTACTATTGACTAATTCCCTTTCATAAAAAGTAGTTGATCCTTATTTTTGCATGGCTAAAATTAAGGCAGGAGCTTGAAGGCAGATGAAAAATATGAGGCATTATAATTATTAAAATATTCAACTTTTACCTGAAACATGGTCAAAGCTCAATACTTGATTCATTAATGATGTGGATAATATAATTTCATCAAACACTGGCACACTGCCACCTAAGGAAATTGTGAGAAATCAAAAGTAAAATTGGAGTCATTAAAATGCATATTAATAACAGTCTCTCTTTCTGGGACTCTTTGTGACTTAAATAAGTACCTGACCATCTTGTTATTCACCCCAGGTAGGGTAGGTTGGGTACAAAGTGGAGACATACTTGCTAGCTTTTTATTAACCCAAAAATTAGAACTTGAGTTTTTTAAGCAAAAAATAATTTGTTCCAAAAAGACATTCTTTATTCCTTAGTGTACATTGCACCCAATAATCTCTGGTGTAAATGCTGAACTACAAAGATACACCAGAACAAACAATAAGTGACATTGGGTCAAATCATGTGAAGTTCCACATTGTATTGTTACCATCACTCTCTTATTCATTTCTATACCATATATAGCTTCTACACCCTAAACGGGGCCGAAGCCATAAAAATTGGGGTAAATTGTTTTAAATACAAAGGCAGTTCTTAAATGTTTTCCTTTAATGTCTTCTTCAAACTTACAATATGCTACTAATACATGTATTATCAGCTTTGCAGGTTGCACAGGGATGTAACTCACCAACTAATCCAGTGTTTCCACCCTGAGGGACTACAGCTAATCTGAGAAAGACCAAGAAAAGGGATTCTCACAATTCATTCAACAACGCCATTTTGACCTGATCTCTATTCTTAAACCAAAAACTGAGAAATGGCATACATTAAAACTGGAAAGCTTAAAAAATATTAAGGTTCAAGAGCAGTAGCACTGACCTGCGTGAATTGCAATACGCTAGGATCTGGGAAACTTCCTCTGTAGTTTTTGGTTTCAGTAGTATTTTACTTGTTCCTCTGTGTAAAAAAAAAAAAGAGGCAAATTCTCACCAGTCAAAATCAGGCAACAGTCTTCCCCAGTAACTGTCTTGACTCCCAAATTCAAATCAAAACTAAACTACCAGTAACTGCCAGGGAATGAACTCTGACCCATATTACAAAGAACATATGTTCTGTATTTTAGCTCAAAGACAAGTTTCATTGATTGATTGATTACAGAATGTCCATTGACGGCCAGCAGTTCATAGCATTTTTCCTTTTTATCTCCCCTACATCAAAGTGTCAACTAAATTCCCTACTGTGAGCTCTTATATCAGTTCTTAATAGTTGCTCATACTGTAAGGAGTAAACTTAACAGAATTGAGAGTTTTCCAGAGGTAGGAGTTCTTTGTCCCTCTGAGGCAAATTCCAATGTAAGCAACAGTTGTTACATTCCATTGTTTTTGTTCATGTTTTTGTTCAATCTGTAGCTTTCCCATTTCCCTTCTTCCAAAGTATTGCATATTTCTTTAGTTTTCACTCTGTGTGCTGTATGGAGTGATCTCAAATAAACAAGATTGCTGCCTGCCTCATACATCACAATGGTTGACCTGACAGACTCTGGAACAAAACACCACATGTCTGCCACAGCAGGAACACCATAGGTACACACAAAAGTTTAAAGAGGAAAAATATCATAACAGTGCTTATCCAAAGGATGTTTCAGCTACAGACGATCTAAAAAATCAGGGTAAAATTGAAGAACAGCTCCCCAAATTATCTGTCCTTCGACAGTCAGCTGATGAATGACCAACAGACGGTCAACAGATGGCTGACAGTCGGCCGACAGTCGCCCAACAGTTTTCCCAATTGACACAAAAAACTGTTGGCTGACAATTGGTAAACTGTTAGTCACTTGTCGGTTTTCTGTTGGTAATCTGTCGGTTTACCATTTTGAAATTATCATCGATTAATTTCACAGTTTAATAAGACAAAATTACTCTATCGGACACTTAGAGATTTTTCCTTCAGGTAAGCAACAATTGGGGCTTATTGGAACCCCGATTTTACGATCTTCGATTTCACAATATTCCTGACAACCTATGTTATTTCAAAAGTGACAGTAAAATGTAGAGCAGAATCCCGATTTAACGATATATGATTTAACGATATTCGTTTCTATGGAACAGTGTGTGAAAGGACTCAATGATGACTGTTTCAGTTGTTGCCCTTTGCAATTAATTAAATACATACATTCCTCCAGAAATCTTTTTTGATGTTTTAGGTTTTTTGATGTATGGGAAATTACTTTATAAATGTGATACATTCCTTTATTGGTCAATGACTTTTATAAAGACGATGGCTCCTAAAGGAGCTGTTGTGATTCATCGAGTAGCAAAGCTACTCGTAGAATCAGTTGTCAAACTTTATAGGCAACAGCTTGCCCTCTCTTCTTAGGCAGTCCATGGTAGGAATGTGCTTGCATAAATGCCGACTCCAACTCCTTCACTGAACCTTGGTGCTAGTCTATTGCTCACTTGTGCTCCTGCTTATCAACGTCTTGTAATTTTGCGGTTGCAACAAAATTACGGATTGTCATTCTGGGACAACTAGCTAAGCAATATGCATTTGCCATGCTACAGTTGTGCTTCCATACTGTGTCAAGGACTTTCTGGTACCTCTGGTGGATTGTGGCCAGACTGTAGTTTCTGAATCATGTGGATTTTCCGGCACTGTCGCTGTTTTTGTCTGGCTTGCCGCGTCCTTCCAGTACTCTGCTTAGCTCCACCTGCAATTCAGCAATTTTTTTTCTTTGCGGCAACTAGGGATGTTTTTAGGTCTTCGATCACCCCTTCTTTTATCCTGACCATGTGAGCAAGCTCTTGAGCGTCGCTGTTCAGCTCCTAGATCTCGGCATCTTTGTCGTCTATCTCTGAACCGAGTTCACCATTCTGGTCTCTGAGAGCCTGGCTTACCTTACCAAAGCTCTCGTTGCTGTTGCGGAGCCGCTTGTACTTTCTCGCCAGCACCTCGTATTCCTCAGTGGTTGGTCCCTCTTCATCTTCCTCAAGAGGTGGTTCAAGTTGATGGCACGCTTGGTAGTTTTTCTCTTTTTGGCTTCGGACTGGTTACATTCACAGCGATGCTTGTCCAAGCTACAGCTGTTGCAGAGATTAACACACTGCAGCCTTGTGTGGTCGCCCCCACAAACGGTACATTTCAATGTTCGCTGAGACATTTTTGAGGAATCGATCGTAGTTGTATTCAAATGGTAATTGAGTTTAGTTAACATCGTTCTTTTATACTCATGGTAGGATCGAATTTCATAAAGACATGATTGGCTTAATTGAAATTAATTGAATAGTTTTGAATTTCAATAACTGGTTCTTTATTGGTTACCTTTGATCCGATGGAAGTTTTAAAAAGGGTGGGAAATAAAGTCATTTATCTAGTTCCAATAATGGAACATAATGAGTTACTTGCCTTACTTCAAAGTTTTCATTCGATTTTTGCATTCTTTGTAGATTTTGGCTTAATAGTATCTGAGCACATGTGCGACTGTGGTAACACAATGCTGTTGAAAGAAAGGCAAAATGTTTGCAATGGCTTTATCTGGGAATGTCCACTACATAGCTGTAGGAAGAGGCAATCCCTAAGAGCTGGATCGTTCTTTGAAAATTCAAAGATTCCTCTTGGCTAGTGGCTGTACATCACTAAAGATACTAAATAGAAACGTTAAATTAGGAGGAGGCAGGAAGACAGTTGAGATCGACAAGTCCATGTTTGGCCACAAACGTAAGTACAACCACAGTCGTGTATCGAAAGGTATGTGGGTGTTCGGGATGGTAGTGAGAGAAAGTGGTTGCGCCCTCACTTTCTGTGTACCTGATCACTCAAGAGAGATGCTGGTTACTCGTCTTGTTGAAGAATTTATCTGACCAGGAACTATCATTATTGCAGACATGTTTTCTCCCTATTTCAACCTGAATAACATCGGATACATTCATTTGATGGTCAATCACTCGGAAGACTTTGTCAATCCTGTTACTGTGGCTCACACCAACACCATTTAGGGATTGTGGAATCAGGTGAAGAAAAAGCTGAAGAGAATGAGCCACACTTTTAGAGATAAATTTCCAGGTTACCTCCATGAATTCAATTGGCAGTGACAGTATCCGGGAAACCGCTTCGAGAACTTGCTACATCACATTGGCGAATTATATCCTGTTAACTAAGTTTGCTTGGTTTGATTGGTGATCTACAAAAAAACAGCTCTTTTAGGAGCCACCAAAAAAATAAAAGTTTTTGACCATTACATTATAGAATAAATGCTTGTTTTACTTTAATAATATACATGAAAAAATTTCTCAGTTCTGATTGGTTAAGATGAATGCAGTTTTCAGTTAATTCAGTGCAGAGGAGAGTGAATTCAGTGCAGAAGAGGATTAATTGAGTGCAAAGAAAGAAACACACCAGACATTCTGATTGATCAGTAATCAAAGAAACTCACAGATAAATAAAGGCTGATAGTTTCGAAAGAAACTGTTTGGGGCTGCATCGGTGGGAGTAACGAAATAATTTGGATATATCAACAAAGTTGAAATGGTAAATTGGCCACCATAATGATTACAAAAGCTGACATTTCGAGCATTAGCCCTTCGTCAGAGCGAATAGAGGAATTGTGGGTTGTGTGTGCTTTTAAAGGCAGAAAATGGAGCTACATTATTGGTGGGAGCATGGCACATTATATTTGTATTGACAGCATTAAAATGCATGCAAACAGACAAACTATTGATAAGAGATTTCAGAACTTTTTTTGAAGAAAAAACAACTTCAAGGAAGGGAAATGAAGTTTAACTTGAATAAAACCCATCTACAACTTGTATAACAACTTTAATAATATACATGAAAAAATTTCTCAGTTCTGATTGGTTAAGATGAATGCAGTTTTCAGTTAATTCAGTGCAGAGGAGAGTGAATTCAGTGCAGAAGAGGATTAATTGAGTGCAAAGAAAGAAACACACCAGACATTCTGATTGATCAGTAATCAAAGAAACTCACAGATAAATAAAGGCTGATAGTTTCGAAAGAAACTGTTTGGGGCTGCATCGGTGGGAGTAACGAAATAATTTGGATATATCAACAAAGTTGAAATGGTAAATTGGCCACCATAATGATTACAAAAGCTGACATTTCGAGCATTAGCCCTTCGTCAGAGCGAATAGAGGAATTGTGGGTTGTGTGTGCTTTTAAAGGCAGAAAATGGAGCTACGTTATTGGTGGGAACATGGCAACGAGAAAAACAAGAATAAATTAGTGGAATGAAAAGCGTTCGTTGATCCCTGTGGGATTTAGACTGCCGGTTTGAAAGATGAGCTTTTGTTCAAGATTTTTACGGCTTTCCGTGCTACCTAAGTGTAAGGAAAGACCGCAGATTGCCATATGTTGCTTAGAATGATTAGGTAAATTAAAATGTCTAGCGACTGGTTTCGATGTGTCCTTGTCATTCCTTTCCACGTCTCGAAGGTGTTCTCGGAATCGGTCACCTAGTCTTCTGCCTGTTTCGCCGATGTATATCTTTTTGCAATAAGTGCAAGTTATGCAATAGATTACATTGGCGGAGGTGCACGTGAAGTGATCGGTGATCTTAATGGATCGTTTAGGTCCCGATATTTTATCAGTGTTGTGAATGAAAGGACACGTTTTGCATCGTGCACGAGCGCATTTAAAAGTGCCTGGTTGGTCATTAGTCTGAAAAGAACTTCTGACCAAAAAATTGCCTATGTTTTTGTCGCGTTTGAATGAAATGAGCGGAGGCTGCGAAAAGATAGTGCTTGTCTCTGGATCGTTTTGAAGTAATTTAAAGTTTTTAAGAATGATGGATTTAACTGAGTGGTTGTGAGGGTGAAACGTGAGAGTGAATGGAATGCGGTCGGAATCTTCCTTATGCGACGTTTGTAGTGCTGAATGTCGATCAATAAGTTGGGCGCGGTGGTAACCCGCTTGAACGACAGAAACAGGGTAACCACGTTTATCGAAAAACTGGCACATTGACTCTGATTTGTGGTGGAAATCAGAGTCATCACTACATAAACGACGAAGTCTTAGAAACTGAGAAAAAGGAATGGAATTCTTAACGTGAGATGGATGCGAAGACGAATATAACAAGTAATTATGCGAGTCTGTAGGTTTGTAATACACACTAGTGCATAAACCGTTACCTTCAATTGAAACTTTGATGTCTAAAAAGGATAAAGAATTGTCAGAAATTTCCCAGGTATATTTCAGAGCCGGGTGAAAAGAATTGACTGCGGTTATGAATTGAGTGAGCTCCTCTCTGGTAGAGGAGGTAGCGCCGATACAGTCGTCGATGTAGCGACCGTAGAGTTCAGGTTTGGACCCGTTGTATTGGCTGAAAAATTGATGTTCGACAAAACCTACAAAAAGATTGGCATAGCTAGGTCCCATTTTGGTGCCCATGGCTACACCATTGGTTTGTTTGAAGAAGTTGCTTCCGAATGAAAAACAATTGAGTGTGAGCACTAGTTCGGCTAAGCGTAGTAGTGTTTCAGATTTAGGTTCCTTAACGGTATGTTGATAACTCACAGATAGCCAATCAAATGTAAGCCTTGGATGTTGCAACATTTGGATGAAAATTTGCTAGCGAAACAATGGCGGGTGTTTTCAGTAGGTTTTCTTCTGCCACTGCAACAACAATACAGAAGCTGAAAAACAGCTCTACCAATGAAAACACAGGCTGGTGCAATTTTGTGAGTCTTTGAAAAAATTTACTCGTGCTTATTTATTCTCAATCGCACTCAAAATCATGTGATTACCTATACCTATTGCTAAATCTAAGTAACTAGTCTCTTCCAATTTCTGCGGAATGAAATGTGTCAGTCAGATACCACACATCAAGTTCACATAAATGAACATCAACATGGCCAATAATGAGGTTTGCTATGCATCATTGGGCAATTAGGCCAGACCACAGTTCGCTCTATTAACTATGCCCCGACATAAACAACTTTGAAGTTGTATGACTGTAGGCACCAAACCCATATTTCTATGCTTGTGCAAGGGCAGCCAATTTTGAAGTAAGCTCGAGTCTCCCTTTGTGTAATGAGACACTTTAGTTCTTTAAAGGCAGTTTGTTACTCATTATCCCAGTGAAATACAGTTCCCTTTCTCCTCAACTCCTGTACAGGTTTTGCCACTGACGCCACTTCTGACATGAACTTTGCAGAGTACTGGTTAAGACCCATAAAAGATCATACTTCACTTGTTTCCTTAGGAGGCCTCACATCTCTGATGCCACAATCTTTTCTTCACTCTGATTCACGCCATAATTTGTCAGCTTGTGACCAAAGAAGTCAATTTTTACACTCTGAACTCGCACTTGTCACCATTAACTGTTAACCCCACTTCACTTACCATAATTTCTGGCCAGTTACCCACACAGCTGATTACCTGCACTGGCCAATTATTGCATACGGAGAAAAAAAAGTCAACAGATTATCCACACTGGTGGATAACCCACACCTGAACTATATCTTTAAAGATTTGGATGCAATATCCAAATGTCCACTGATTCTAGAAAATCATGTGACATGAACAAATTAATTCCAACTAAATAATGTCTCATGTAATCAACAAAAATTTACAGAATACACTTATTTTATAAACATCCAAGAGGGATATCATCCATCTGATTTATTCACAACCTCTTGCATGAACTTGAATAGCCAGTGGCTTAGACTTAAGGCATTCATGTTAACAAAGCTTTCATTCAACTCTTCCACATCCACATCAATGTCCACACCTTTAAACAGTCCCCTGGCTCAATGGTGCAAATCCTGAGCATTCTTTGGTCTTGACATTGTGGGAAAATCTGTAACACCCATTTGTAAAATCTTGTAAACTGTAGATTTCGGAACAAAATTGATAGCACACTCATTTTTATCTAATGTTTTGGGTACCTGAAACCTGGAACTTGACTAATCCATGTTGCACAAAACAATGAATATGACAAGTTAAGTTGGATAACTCCCAAATGATGCATTCCATCCAAACCATTTTTATCACACAGCTCATGTTTAATTAACAAAACAAAACATCAAGACTCGATTAATAGTAAGCTACTTGTTTAAAGAAGCTACACCAAAAAACTTGTGCTAATATGTTTCATCAGGGTGTCTGGATACCCCATTGAAACATGAAGCACAAGCTTTTGATATAATTATTACATCTTACAATGCAAAAAGACCTTTGTCATGTTCTTCCATGCCACACCAATAAACAATTACATCTCCCACAATGTTTGCAACCCCAGCACAGCCCCTTGACACTTCTCTAATGATTTGTTGGTATTTCTCTAGTGAGGATATCACTCCAAACATCAAACGTTTGTAACAAGAAAAAGCCCTTTGGTGTATGGCAAAGGTGGTGACATGGCGGCTTTCTTCACTGAGTAGAATTGAACAGCATTGCCAGTCCACTACTTTGCTTCTTTTGTCCACCACTAAGGTGGTGAAAATGCATAATAAGGTTTTAGCAGATGATCTGGTTTAACAAAAACACCACTGTCTACTCCTCTATGACCAGATTCTTCAGTCACAAGATCAGTCTCACACCCTTCTCTGCATTCGTGTCTACCTTAGCTGAGTCCACAAACCCTCTTTCTACCTTGGCCTAGTCTTCCTCTGCCCCTCTTCGTTTCTCCCAGTATCACTGTTCAAAATAAATCCTTGTCAAAGTTGCTGACAAAATACACCTCAAAGTTCCCAATAAAGTCCTTGAAGAAACTAATGAAATTCTCAACAGAATGTTTACCAAAAATCCTTGAAATCCTCAAAATCTTCTGAATCTTTGAAATCTTCATTGCCAAAGTAAAGCCTTTCAATACTCCTGTTAGACAGTCACAACTTACAACACACTTTAATCAATATGAATGCAAACTTAAAGATATGACACTACAATGATGACATCTTTACCTGACCATTTTAAGCCAGTCAACATTGTGAGGTGATATTTCATCTGGATTTGTAACAACTCTTGAAGGAATGAAAGTCTCAAAAGCTCTAACATCTTCGTCTGTTACCTATATACACCAAAGTTAAAAAAAAGGACCATATTACTCAATGAACAACCCTCCCATCAATTAGAAAGGAACACTAAATACAACCAATCACATTTCGAAGCAGGATCTATTCACAAATCACATTCCTCAATTTTCCCTACTTTTCCCACAGGATCAACAAATATTGATACAGACCAAAATCAGCATTCTTTGTTGTGAACCCTGCCTAAATGTATTACCATTTGTAAACAGATTCAGAAGGGGAGTCCCTGAAAAGTAAGTAAGGAGAGCCTGGCTCTTAGAAATAATGTTGGTAAATTAGAGATCTTGCTGTATACTAGGCCATATTTTAAGGGTAAGTTGGGGAACTACCTATATAAACTACATATATAAAAAAGCTTGCAAGAAGCTCTACTCTCTACGTATTCTATGTTGAGCCGGCGTTGACCATGGTAGCATGTTAAAGGTCTATACAAGCTCTGTTAGATCTGTTATGGAGTATGCCGTACCAGTATAGCAATCCATTCCAGGTTATCTGTCTGACAAAATTGAATCCATACAGAAAAGGGCGCTTAAGATAATTTTCCCATGTGCCGATAGTTACTCAGAAGCCCTCGAGTTAGCACAGGTGGAGACCCTTACGTATAGAAGAGATAAAATATGTAAAGAGCATATGTGCAAAATGAAGGACTTAAACCACCATCTCCATCCTCTTCTACCAACACGCTTAGACGATACCTGTCCCTATAACCTCAGGCACAAATCAGACCAGTTGTATCTTTACAGAAACCAACCCCCGTGGAGTTGTTCCCCCGTTGGGCTAAACTTCAGAATACCCCGCCACATCATTTCCACGTTATTGAATAAGAATAGCATCTATTGTGTTATGCCTCATTCTTCAAAGCCTCCCGAAATATGTAAGTGATGTGGACAGGTATTCTGAAGTTGTTCTTAAACTACTATTATAACAGGTACCTCCGAATATTGTCCTCTTTTGAGCCCTGGATACCTGGTACTAGTGAGTTCAATCTTTTTGGATCCTGTTCCGTAACTGCGTAAGGTGCGTTTGATGTAACACTTTAGGGCTACTGCAGCTCGTTCTTGCAGGTGTCTCATTTTGAAACATTCACTGGATGTTCAAGGACTACTAGCTCAAAGCGACGGCCTCATAGCAACTAACTTGTTCTCTCAGATGGACGGTGGATTGCTTCATCTATTTCGTAGTATTACACCATAGTTACTCCCGTTTAAATTGTGGTGGACATGATACGTATTGTTGGTCGCTGCCTAGAGAAGAGGGATCCGCCGATTACCGATACCAAATGGTCGATACCAGCGATACCGAGGTGGGATCGAAAAATTACGATACTCGCGAAGAGTATCGATTCTTTCGATACTGCACGTGACCTACCCTGCGACTAACCGCTGACAAGAAGCCCAAAACACTCCGGGCTCGAGATCGTGCGTCGCGCACAGATGACGTCACAAAATTTGAGACTCCCCACTTGACTCAAACAAACAAACTACTCCAAGTGCCATTTCTACAAGAGCGTTTAATAATAATAATAATAATAATAATAATAATAATAATAATTTAATAATAATTTGATATTTATATTGCGCAAATTAACATGAAGATATGATCACATGCGCATCACAACACTTTTCGGGGGACTTTGGCCGGACTGCATCAGCAGTTTACAAACATTCGAAAGAAGCTTTATTTGAAGATGCCCCCTCTCCCCAATTCCCAGTAAACAGGCCAGACCACATCACAGTAATCTTGTGAGTGGGTTCTTTAACGTCCCCTGCCTAACCAAATTAACTAACTAATAGATGCAGGAGACGGGACCTACAGTTTATTCGTCCTTATCCGAGAAGACTAGAATGTCTATCCA